TATTTGTCTGACGAACTCGCCTCTGACTCCGACGACGAGAAGAGAATTTACCGGACCGAGAGGAGAGCCAAGAGAAAAATCAATGAAGAGAGGCGTCGTCGTGTCCGTTCCGACGAGAAAGGAAGCGGTTCCTCCTCTGTATTCCGTGCGGCTTCTTCGTCGAGATTCTCGTGTAAGGATTTGGCTTCTCTTCCAGAAGCTAGACCAGCTCGTCGTTTGGGGCCTTGTTTTAAGATAAGTAGCCTACTATTTCTCGTTATACTGACTTTGTTTTTACTTCGTCGATTATGGCGTTACACTCAGGCCATAATCCAATATTCTGCATGAATTACTGTTTTGCTGTATGTCGTTCTATAGACTAGGTTAGTGCAGAATATCAAAATATATGCGGTACGTAGTTTAGTAGATATTTGTTTTTTGCACGTTCTCGATTTGGTATTCTTATTGCGTTATACAATTAGGTGTTTCAGTTACGCAATACGCGTTAATCATTAACGACACACGGTGTGTCGTATATATAGCTGTTGTCAGTTAGTGATCTTCCTGCGGGTCTGCCAACGCCACACGCTTCTCCGCTGTTCTTTTATTTTTATGCTGTGGATTTTATTTTCATGCTGTTGTGTGTTCCCCTTTTTTCATTGTGGTGGTTTTGGTCATTTAAGCTTGACATGCACAAAACCTGCGGACACTTCAAAGAGTAACGCTCGCCGTGATTGACTAGATGGCGCTTTGTTGACCTCTGACGATGCTGATGCCCAGCAAGTTGAGTGTGATTTTTTAGATTTATTGTCTTCCTGTAGCGACGAATTTAGTGTTAAAGGCGGTAGCAATGGCGTCAAAGGTCGCTTGAATTCCTCGCTTAACTTCTGGGTTGAAGTTGCCCGGGATAGTAGAATGCCCTACTAGTCACCCCCTTGTTAAGTCATCCTTAGAGGGCGCTACAAGGAAACTTGCGCGTCCCGTTCAGCCCAAAGAGCCTTTATCCGTCAACACAGTTTGTAGGATCGCTGATAATTATATTTCTAGTAGTTCTCTCGCTGTTATTCGTTTTCTTTTCATTGTCTTGGTTGGCTTCGCTGGGTTTTACCGTATGGGCGAAATACGTTCTTTGTCCATTAAAGATGTCTCTATTTGCAGTGAATACATGTCAGTTTTCATTCCGAAACGCGAGAATGGTCAGTATAGGGAGGGGCATACATCCCTCCTAGCAAGGTCTCATAAGGCTACTTGCCCGGTTTCTATTACCGAGAGGTTACTTAAGTTTCTTCCTTTATCTACTGAGTCATCCTACCCCCTCGTTGGACGAATTGTTAAATCTAAGATTAAGGAGTATTTTCATGCTACTAAAGGCGTTTCATACACGACGCTCAGAGAGGAACTTAGGAAATACGTTAAGCCATTTGTAGATGACATCGCTAGTTATGGCACGCATAGTATCAAGTCTGGCGCCGCTTCAAATCCTGCGTGTAGGAGTATTTCCGCTGATCTGCTGAACATACACGCCGGCTGGAAATGTGCCATTTCAAAGAACAGATAGCAGACAGAGGAGAATAAAGAAGAAAACTCAATTGGGGGATTTCAAGTTGATCCAATACCAAATTCTCCAAATTGAAACCATGAGTATTTTATGGCAGACAGTAGGGAGAATTACTAATGAGATCTTGGGAGTTAAAGAGTTAAAGCAGTTCTCCTGTTCTTACTTTTGAGTTCTCGTTGTTCAGTGATGATTATAACCATTGTTCTGATTGGCTTTAGTGATTACTTTGGTTTTGTTTGTCGACACTCAACGCAGAGCACTCTAAGTGAGTGACTGACTCCACTGACACCTAATTTCCCGTATCTTCATTTGGCCGCGCGAACAATCGACCCCATAGGGTATGGGCTCAATATCAGGTGACTCACTCGAGAGTTTGCTTTACCAGAAATACTTCTAATAAGACTGAACAGTGGATTGGTTCCAACAGTCTTTTATTTTAGCATGACTATTAGGGTTTACAGAAGCAGTATATATAATTGTGGTGTTACAATGCTTAGTACAACTGTTGGCTTTTGATGGAGAGTTTAAAATTTTTTTGTTTTTTCTTTCCGATAAATGCGATTAAAATAACTTGGCGAAGTGCAATATAAACTTGTGAACTGAACATATTGCTTTTAGGTTAGGTACTTAGAGTAAAGTAGTTTTTCTTGGTCGGGCTCGTTGGAGCACGCTTGATTAACCGTAGTTCAACTTCCCACCATTTTTCACTTAAAGCCTTAATAAAATAAAAAGTGGTCCACTTCACAGTCTCTCAACCATTATGTCTATGTGGGGTCCTACGTAAGTAAGTACACAGTTCCTTAAAACGAATAATCACGTCTTAAAACTTTGTGACTAGCCAGCAAGGATCCAAGGAAAACAAGTTTTTTGAATTCCAGTCATCTTAATTCCTGTCAAATAAACATAAAAGCTTTGTTTCACACATTCCGCTGTTTCTCAGAAGAGAAATAAACGCCCTGTTTTGAAAAAGCGCCCTCCCTTGACTTGAAGTACCAGAAGGTTTTAAGTGCCCGGGCTCTAAATCGAAGCATTACGATAAGTAAAGACTGATTTGATGCACAGTAACTACGAAATGAGTAAATAGAGAATATTATTTTGGATACGCCGTTTTTATAGCGTTTCTTTAGATATCATAGTAATTTTTAGGAATTTGCAATTTTCTTAATCGGTGCACCACCACCGCTCCACCTTTCCTTCTGAAGATTGTTATAAACGGGGGTTCAAACAAATTCATACCCTCTGCCTTGTTCACATTGGCAGCCAACTTTTTGTTGTAGGCATTCACCTCATTATGGATTTTTTTCAAACAATCCCACAGAAAATTCGAATGCACTCGACTTGAAATACGACATTTGAACTTATCCAAAAAAACCTTACAAAATGATAAGCCGCTGGCGAGAGTTTCTTGCCACTCTTTTTGTATCGCAGCAAAAGGTCAGTCACGAACTCTGGGTCGTCGGTTGTTCCGAAGTCTAGCAATCCTTTTCTGTCTTCCTTTGGCACACGGGAACGACGGATCACTCGCATCGCGTTAAACATCCTCGACAGGTACTTGCTCATCTTCATCAAGCACTCCGCAACGGAAATGAGTTTACAGTGTTTGTACTCCTTATTTGCCTCTCCCCAGTTTTCAATCATGGACACCCACAGGTCGTAAGTTGATAGCGGCGTGTAATACTGACATGTGGGGATTGCATTCATCTGAAGGCCCTGTACTACATGCCGAATGGCGCCTCGGGTATGATATACCTCCGCAGCGTAGAGGAGGGCCTTGGCGAGGTAATCTGCGAAAGATCATCATGATTGTACATAACTATCAATTCAAGCCTACATGTAGATGATACCAAATTCTCGGGGTCCTATTTTTTACACTAAAATTCATCAAAACGCGCTTTGCGGGAAGTGGCACTTATTTTTTTCATTTTTCACCGGTACTCTTTGTACCACTGACAAAAATGCAAAAGTTAAAGTCTATTTAGTCGCTCACATCATCGATGGGAAGTGTCAAATGGACTTGGGAAGTTTAGTTTCGTAATGAATTAAGTACTAGTGGGACATTTGGTGCATTTTGAATTGTTTTTCCACATTTCTTTCATTAATCATAACCACTACAATTTCCTCAAATGTTATTGGTGCATTAGCTGCTTTATTATTCAATAATCATTCTGTACAGTTGTAATTAATCGGACAAGGTAATCGGATAGTTGGCTGTAATCAGACACCTGTAATTGGACAGTTGAAGCAGCAAATCATACTAAAACCACTCAGCTAAATTCAGCAATCAAAATAACCATAGTAACAACCCTTATCCTAAAACTTTCCAAAATGGAGGATTTTTGTACTTTAGAAATTGTCTTTCACAAAGATGTTTGTCCTAAATGTATTTGATTTTTTCGGAAACTGTAACGGTTATGATTACCTGGCAGGAGGACTTCGAGTCGTCCAATTCTGTCTGTAATCATACTCGTAATTGACAAATCCGACGTCCGATTTTGTCAATCACTTGTATGATTACAGACTAAATTGGACTCCACTCGTTCCCATTACCATTATAAAATGCTATATAGATCTCTAGTCTGTCCAATCTCTAATTACCTGTTGATGTTATGTGGTAACTTCCTGTTT